GCGCGTTGTTGCTCGGGTCACTCTTCCGGTGCTGGGTTGGAATAAGACCTTCTTCTTGGCCCCCTTCATTTATACGATTGGACCTTCTTTAAAGGCCTCCGCTTTCTTTTTATAGATTGTCACTTTGTGCGGATTAATACACGCACTAAAATTTGTCTTCACTTGTTTTTTTTTTTTGCGTTTTGGTATAAAAGGTTCACGTGATTCTTTTCAAAACACCCGGTCAGCGACGTATCCGCTGAATAAGTCGACAATAAAAATGTTTATAAACTGGGGGTGCTTCTCTCTGCTTCTCAAGTTTCTCTTCGGTCAAGAACCGTCCGATATTTAAGCCCCAAACAAAAACAAATAAATTTCCCTAACTAGGGGTGTTAGCCGCTTCTACACAACGCGGTTCCGCTAAGCTAACATGCCCTTACTTTCCCTTTTTCTAGACATCCCAAATGTTCCAAACGGAATGGCTGTGTCTAGATAAGGAATCTGTCCAAAAACCCCCTCCCGCCAGTCGTCGGAAAACAAGTTATTTTGACCGATCATTCTGGGGCTCCACAACCGTCTCCTATTTCTCTGGACTCGAACCAAGCAAACGACCTGACCAACTAGCCTAATACGTTGTGGGGCGTCGGCCAGAGAAACTAAAAATCGTCCACCACCCAAATATGTCAAGGGAAACAGCAAAGACTCGAACCAAGCAAACGACCGGACCAATGCCTAGTACGTTGTAGGGCGTCGGCTTTGCGTTTCCTGTCAGTTCCCCCACCCCCATTCTGTCCTGGATCGACAAACGAACAGTAGACCCGCACCGCAACTGCTAAATGCGTTACCTTAATGCTTGCGCTCATGCTCTTTCTGGACTCGAACCAATTCAAACGACCGGGCAAATGCGTAGTACGTCGTGTGGCGTCGGCCAGAAAGCACCTATAAATTGTATTTACGTTAATTTTAACAAGTAGTCGTCGACACTTAGTTACAGGTTAGTTATAAAAAATGATAACTCATAGTTCTTGATTTAAGGAAGTTCTGGTAAATTTGTCCATGAACAAAACAGAGAATTTTTAAGGTTAAAAACATTTCAAAGTCAGGCCTCTATTCTGCGACAAAGTTCTGATTGAGCGGCCGCTCGACACTGACAGTCACAGAAGTTGGGGACTTTAAAGTTACTAATTTAAAGACAAAAACAAATAAGTAGGTGCACATTTAAAATTATTTAAGTTCCCCTGCTCTATAAAACAGTCAAGTTACTCATGGCAAACAAAGATGAAAGCTTTGCCATCCCTAGGTACATCCACACCGATACCGCAGGCATCAAGATTGTGGACCGTGGTAAAATTCCTTAAGGAACATGAAATGTCCTTCGTTGGGCGCCAATTCTGTTACGTGGGCATATTAGTGCCCGAGTCCTGATAAGGACTTGGGCCGAGGGAGAGGCGTCCGATGTTCAGGCACCATTTGCCGGCATAAGCTACGTCGTATTTGGGTCGTGGGATCTTGGTAAGCCTCTCTCCTCTCCAACATAACGAGAATAAATATTAAAAGTGCCTGGAAAAATAATAATAGTCATCAAGTTCGTCAGTCATCAGTCCACACTGCCCAACAAGCTTAGCTGTCGCTTGATCGCAATACGATCGGGCTGTGTGTTGGCCATATTCCCTCCCCTTCACACATTCGTGTGCCAATGGATCGTCGCGGGCCGCGCAATATGATCCCCTATTGTCAAGGTTGTCCGTCGAAAGTTATGTCATTGTTCTTGACCTACTTCACTCCTCGCGTCAGCACACCCCCTTTGTTAGAGTTCTAGCACACCATGGTTTTGAATTCTTTTTCACATTATAAATTTATTAAATAATATTTATGTCGGCGTGTGCCGGTGTTGAATAACATAATATTGGTTAATTCATATAGGGATTAAATTAATTGACAATTATTGTATTAGCGGAGAGTATCGATTTGACCACCTGTGAAGGTGCACACATCAGCAAAATGCTGACTATTCACGACTGCAAACGTCGCTCAGAGGGCTCTTGCAATTGTCATACAATTACAAGGCTGATACTGGCCGCTGAAAAATTAACATTTAATTATTATGTATAAAAAAAGGTATAAAAAGAAAAGTATATCTAAATGATTATATATATGAAACAATTATTATATGTGGATATTATATATTATTACATGTATTCCTAACAGATTAATTCTTTGTCTTAACTAGGAAAGTATTAACATTGCCCAAAAACCAGACGGTTTCCAGACGGGAAAGAACAATGACCGTTGGAACGGTAGAGATAATGATAGCTTTTTCGGTCTTATTACAGTGGGCAAGTGGAGAAAAATCTAGACGGAAGGTCTCAATATATAAGTATTTCAATTCATTCACTGTTATTGGTAGGGTCGCTTTTGATAACAAGTATAAAATTCTTACGTTAAATTGTGGATCAGTGTCTATTGTTTTTGCTAAAGCTTCTGATGTAATCATGGTGCACGGATATATATATATATGTATGTATGAGAAAAGGAACCGTGTTCCGACAAACTTACCCTCTTTTTAATCCTGGGCTTTGGGAGATTTTATAATTGGTTTATATACATATATACGTGCAAGACTTGAAGGCGGTTTACAAAAACAAAACACAAAAATTACGTTACACAAAAAAATAACACTATCGCTGTATAGATATGTATGTATGTATGCATCGTATGCGAGTTCCACTGAGGCACACGTCAGTTCCAATGCTCGGGCTGGGCTGGCCGGTGCAGCTCCACTTTCTTGTTCAGCGTATGTAATTGGGGGTTCTGTTTACACTTGCATTCAGAAATGCATGTACTCGCAAATTGTTTTTGATTGTTTTGGCGATTCACTTTTTTGTTTATAATATTGGAGTGCAATTTATTTATTATTATTTGTATTGTTTCTATTGTCTTTTTGCTGCTTTTATTGTCTTTTTGGTGGTTTCACTTCACTGTATCGGCTCGGCTTATGCTCCAATATGGGTCACCACTTTCTCCAGGGTGTGATGTTGGTCGCGGCGTCTCTGAACAGAGCGCTTGTACATCTTTACAACCTTAAGGAGCACTATAACCAGGAGTAGTCCAACGATGAGCTTCATGGTCTTGTTGACATCCTGAATATCATCTTGGTGGTCAACGATCTCTACTGTGTTAATCACATTGGCGGTGCTGCCGGCCACTTTAGACGTTTTGCTACCCATCTTGGGGTCCTTAGGCCATTCACTTGGTTCACTAGTTATTTTCGTCCTTCGGGATTTTGCTGGTTGACTTCCTCCAGATTGTGGTCGATCGCAGGACCGGTTATCGGGACTTTCTCCTGGGTGAAGTTGATCCTAGGGAAACGTCAAGACATCCTTCTGGACACCAGCCTTCTTCCAGTCGTGGTCTGTGTTGACGGGAGTTGCACTTCTAGACCACCGTCATGGAGAGATCAGAACAATTTTTGTCTTTCTCCATTTGGCTGGGGTCTTTTATACCGGACTAGAGCTTTCGCTAGCCCCCATATTGGATGAATTAACTAGGTGTTCCCACCTAGGGGTACTGTTTCTCCATTTCCCCTATTTTAGGAGTCAATGGCCGGCTGGTGCACTTTGCCACCTTACTGGATTACGGTTACGAGCAGGTCGATCGTGGTCGTTGTTCTGGCCACGCGACACCCATGAGTTGTCGAATTGTTTTTGCTGTTTTGCTTTTATCAATCGCAGTGTGGTTAGTCATTACGGCCCCTACCCTCAACTAATGGCAGTTGTTTTGCCGGGGTTAATCTTGGTATGGGGAAGGGCGTACGTAACACTATATCTAACATTTTATTTCAATATCAAAAATCCGGATCTATACTTGACTTTGCCCGTTGGTCCTCCTTTTGCTACCAATTTCCTACTGAAAAAAGGTCAATGCTATAATCAATACCTTTCACAGTGTAAAGACTACTTTCGCACCGATCCAAAACAATTTTTCTCTTTTGTTAACTCTAAACGAAAATCTAACGCATTTCCTATGTCCCTTCGCTGATGTTAACTGAAATGTATTAGTCTCGTTTGCCACGCCCACTCTAACGCCCACAAAATATTTTTGGTGATGGTCTACATATTTTCTGATCGCTAGTCTTCATTACTATTGTTTGACCCCGAAAAGACCAAAATTCAGTATTGTTGCCTATACGAGAGCCAACCTGCGTACATTATATACAGCAATGATAGCCCTTATGATTTTTTAAGCCACAAATCATGGCTTTAGCTGGGGCATCACAAATGAAATCATTGCAATTCAGCTAAATATTCCTCAACCCTAGCTGAATGCCGTCCATCTTAATACATTTCAATTCGTTGGCGAAATCATAACGGCTAACTAGTCGAGGTACCCGGCCATAGCGTTCTTCCTTATCTAAGCTACGGACCTGGGAACATTTTTGTAGTATTAAACCGATTGATATGGATAAAATTCAAAGGGTCAAAGTTCCTAGCCTTATGCTAAAGAAATGATTTACATTTCGATGGAAAGATAGAACTAAGATCTAAACACTTTACGTTGACATAATTGCTCTTAAAAATCTCTGCAATACCGTAGCTAAATTTAGTTATTGAGTAAAGGTTTTCCGAGATTTCTTTAAAAACTGGTCGATTCTGAAAGCACCCTCAGAACTTGTAAGAATTTGATAATCCCCAACTTTTGACGTATTACACATTATCAAGAATAATAATATTTTAGATAGTATCCGCAGTGATAATCATTGGTAAAGACTTCATAGGCTCACAAAACTTTTTAATTTATTTTAGTTTCCATTTCAGCAATTTTGCAGCCGGTAGTATAAATTAATTCAACTAAAAACACAAATTTGTAACTTAGTAATAATTTTATTCACATGTACACTCAAAATACACATTTTGCAAATGTTTGCTTAACATATGGCAACCGAACTTTAAGAGATACAATTGAGAGTAAAACCATTAAATGACTGGCACATAAGGCGATGTCTGATGTTTGTTTATAGTGGCAGCTTGTCGACAATATCAAGTTTTTAATTCGGCAATTAGCACCCAGTTATCGCTTTAAGTAATCTGCATTTTGATAAAACTTATAAAACAGAGCCTCAATCTTTATGTCTAATTGCAGTTGTATACGGTATTGGGTAGAGCTTTAACTTTTACGTCCAAACGAATTTTATTTATCAACACGGTTGGAAGTGAGTGGGGGCTGTCAGCCTGTCTGTTTTTTGAAACCGGCCGAGACGTAATTTCTAATTTATCTAAAAGGGAAAACAATTAGTATGAGCATCGATTTAAAAGGTAAATAAATTTATAAGCGAAAAACAGAAAAAAAGAGCGAACTGTTACTATGAACAAAGGAAATATATGGATATACAGTTGCGGCAACAAAAATAGCACCATTGCGTGGGTAGTTCTTAATTGTGATATAAAATGGCCATTTCTTGCAATATTTCCATTCTGTTTTTGGTAATAATTAGTGAAATACATGTACTTACTAAAATAACACTGATAACTGTTACAATGCGAACGGTTTTTATTACATTCGAATTTGTATGGAGAGAGAGTCAAAATAGAGCGGCAACAAAAATAGCACTATTAACAGTTCTTCTACGAAAGCTTTACTTGTTCGAAACTTTATGGAGTTTTTTCTTCTTAGATGCATTTGATATCAGTGCATTTAATTGATTTGCTAAAGTGAGTCGCAAATTTCGGTAGTTATGGGTCGTGCGAAGCATTGTTCTGTGGAAACACGAAAAACAATCAAAAAGCTCATTTTCGAAGGCAATACCTATGCCCAGGTTGGGCGAATCATCGGTTGCTCTAACAAAATGATTTGTAATGCCCTAAAATATGATACCAAACCAGAAACACGCGGGAGAAAACTTGCAATGACACCAAAAATGGTAACGCGCCTGGTGCGCGAAAGTAAGAAGGACCCTTTTAAGCCGGCTAGCGAGCTTAAAAAGGATCTAAACATATCAGCAGCTATTACAACTGTTAGATCCTGTTTACGTGACAACAAATTATACGCACGCAGTCCAAGAAAAGTACCGTTATTGACTAAAAAGAACATCGCAAAAAGAATTAAGTTTGCAAATCAGTACGTAAATTGGTCCCAAGAAAAGTGGCGGAACATATTGTGGTCTGATGAGAGCAAGATTGTTTTATTTGGTGGAAAAGGGTCTCGGTCTTACGTTAGACGACCTCCCAATACAGAATATAACCCCCGCTTCACTTGCAAAACAATTAAACATGGAGGGTCCAGCATCATGGTGTGGGGTTGCTTTTCGTATTACGGAGTCGGCCCAATACATTGGATAAGACCTATCATGGATCAAAATGTCTACGTCGATATATTGGAAAAAGTTATGCTACCATACGCGGAGTACAAAATGCCTTTGCTTTGGGTCTTCCAACAGGATAATGACCCAAAGCATACGAGCAGGAAAGCTCGATCCTGGTTTGAGACCAACCGTGTCAACGTCTTGGAGTGGCCGGCACAGTCGCCAGACTTGAACCCGATAGAAAATCTTTGGAGTGACGTTAAAAAAGATGTTTCTAAGGCAAAGCCCAAAAATAATATGGACCTCTGGGCCACTGTGCAGGTGTCGTGGAAAAATATACCCAAGGAAAGATGTCAGGGTCTGGTGGACTCCATGCCAAGACGATGTGCTGCTGTCCTTGCAGCCAAAGGCTTCACAACAAAATATTAATTTTTAAGGACACTATCACGCATATTTCTGGATAATTTTTTTTTTGATATTGTTGTATTTTTAAGTTTTTCACTCATTTTTCAATTTTGGTGCTATTTTTGTTGCCGACCAAATTTCCTTAAAATTTCGTATTTTTGTGAAATACTTTCGAGTAAAGTATCAAATGCATACAATTGCCTTCAATTTCATAAGTAATATGTTATAGTAATAAAATAAGTGGTTACCCACTCGCTTAAGCCATTATTCTTAATAAAATTTCGATTTAAAGCCAAGCTTATGTCATGGTGCTATTATTTTTGCCGCAGCTGTATATTAAATGGTTCTGGGTGCTTAAACAATGAAGAACAAGAAAGAAAGCTAACTTCGGCAAGCCGAAGTTTGTATATCCCTGCAGTTATGACTATTCAATTTAAAAATACAAAAAATGATATTCCCAATAGTATAAGATAATATGTCAAAAAACACCGAAAATATAATTTGTTTCATGTTTTTTTCCCACCAATTTTTCGATCGTTCCCATGGTAGCTATACGATAAAGTCGTCCGATTTTAATAAAATAAAATTCAATATTTAGCGATTATTAAAAAATGTTATTTTCAAGCGTGTTAAAAAACACCAAAGACCAAAACACCCATTATAATTTGCGATTATTTTAATGGGAACTATAAGATACAGTTATCCGATCCGGCTGGTTCCGATTAATACACTACCTGCAAAAGAAATAAGACTTTTGGGAAAGTTTCAGCCCGATAGCTTTAAAACTGAGAGACTAGTTTTAGTAGAAACGAACGGACAGACGGATATGGCTAGATCGACTCGTCTAGTGATGCTGATCAAGAAAAAATATACTTTATACTATGAGCTTTCTGTAAAACTTAGAAAAAAATAAAATCAATTACAAATAATATAAAAATAAATGAAAGGGTAAAATAATTATTTCATTATTTCGCGATGATTTGTTTCATATTATTTTCCCACCATTTTTCCAATCTTTCCTATGGCAGCTATATGATATAGTCGCCCGATTTTGATAAAATTAAATTAAAAATTCGAAATTAATTAAAAAATGATATTTCCAAGCTTACTTAAACACCAGAGATATAATTTTTTAATTTTTTTTTCCGTTTATATGGGAGCTATAAGATATAGTTGTCCAATCCGGGTTGTTCCGACTTGTATACTACCTTCAAAAGAAAGAAAACTTTTGGGAAAATTTCAGCCCGCTAGCTTTAAAACTAAGAGACTAGCTTGCGTAAAACGGACGGACAGAAGAGACGGACACGGACATTTATTAAATTTAAAAATACAAAAAATGATATTCCCAATAGTATACATATATGTCACAAAACACGGAAGCTATAATTTGTTTCATATAATTTTCCCACCAATTTTCCGATCGTTCCTATGGCAGCTATATTATATGGTCGTCCGATTTTCATAAAATTAAATTCGAAATTCAGAACTAATTAAAAAATGGTATTTCCAGGCGTAGAAGGTTATATGTTAAAAAACACCGAAGCTATACTATGTTTCATATTATTTTCCCACCTATTTTCCGATCGTTCCTATGGCAGCTAGATGATGAAGTCGTCCGATTTTGATAAAATTTAATTCGAAATTCAAAACTAATTAAAAAATGTTATTTCCAAGCTAAGGAGGTTATATGTTAAAAAACGCCACAGATATAATTTTTTTGAATTATTTTTCCGATTATTCCTATAGGAGCTATATGATATAGTTGTCCGATCCGGTTGGTTCCGACTTATATACTACCTGCAAAAGATATAAGACTTTTGAAAAAGTTTCAGCCTGATTGCTTTAAAACTGAGAGACCAGTTTGCGTAGAAACGGACGGACGGACGTGGCTAGATCGACTCGTCTTGTCATGCTGATCAAAAATATATACATATATACATACTTTATGGGGTCCGAAACGTCTCCTTCACTGCGTTGCAAGCTTCTGACTGAAATAATACTACCCCCTGCAAGGGTATAACTAGAAAGGAAGCTAGCTTTGGCAAGTCGAAGTTTCTATACCTTTGCAGCTCGTTACCGTGGGAGCATTGTATGTACAAAGCTTTCCGATTTTAGGAAAACTAAATCTAGCCTTCAGTTCTGCAGTAGGGACGCGGTGACATGACTCAAGGCTAAAAGCTTTTTTGTTATTTTTGTGTGCCTAAAACGCTGTGCCGCTGTTGAAATCGGCGCAGCGTAGAGGACTGCCTACGAAAACGATCAAGCAACAAAGAGATGCAGATACTTGGGGGTTCCCCCTCTTTCTTTGTCTTACAATCTGCCTGCACTCGGCGCTCTCAGAGACAAATTTCGGCCGGTCCGTTATTTTTTTTGCGTCTCTCCGTTATGTTCGGCTAGCGACTAACATGTTGGGGGAAACATTTTCGTGGAGCAGTGACATGTGAATGACCTACTATTTTAAGAGCATTATTGTATATCGAAAAAAAGTCAAATATTTGCTTATAAAAGTAAGTTATTTGATTATAGTAAAATTCAGGAAATTGAATTTAGTTATAATGTTATGTTTACGTATTATACATTTTTATTAAAATATACATTTTTAGTTCAGTTATAGAAATTTAATCCGTTAATATTTATTTAAATATTTAAAACATTCTAGTATTAACATTTAAAAAAAATTCATATAGTTATATTACTTAAATATTATATAATCGGATATTTTTCGTTTTAAAAAGGGTATAGTTGCAGTGGTCGCGCCAACAGCGAAGATAAAACCAAAGACATCAAGTAAAGGGGTGAGGAAGAAGACTTGGTGCATTCTGTTTCTGTTATTGAAAGTGAAGCAAGCCATTTACATAAATTGTACGCAGCAGATTTACTTTTTACGTTTTAAATTCTTTTTCTAGCAATGAAATCTGATATTTTTTTCAATACAATAATTATAGTTCAAATTGCAAGGAAATATTTAATGTTTCCTAAAAACTTTTGACTTACTCTTGCCCTAGTGGGTATTTGAACCGGGGTCCTCTCACATCAGAGGCAGACGCCTTACCCGTTAGGCCATCGCACCATGTAACGAGTGAGCGTGTAAGTTCAAGTTATAAGTATCGCATCGGACTCTCGAGCGGAAGACCCCAAATCGATTCCCACTGTGGAGAAACTATAAGTCTGTTTTTATATGTAACAGGCAGAAGGCTGCGTTTCCGACCCCATAAAGTGTATATATTCTTGATCAGGATCACTAGCCGAATCGATCTAGCCATGTCCGTCTGTCCGTCTGTCTGTCCGGATGAACGCTGAGATCTTGGAAACTATGCGAGCTAGGCTATTGAGATTTGGCGTGCAGATTCCTGAGCTTCTTACGCAGCGCAAGTTTGTTTCAGTAGAGTGCCACGCCCACTCTAACGCCCACAAACCGCCCAAAATTGTGGCTCCTACAGTTGTGATGCTAGATATAAAATTTTAACTGAAATGTATTGGTCTCGTCAATACCTATCGATTGGTCCAAAAAAAATTTGCCACGCCCACTCTAACGCCCATAACGCTTAAATCTGTATACCGCCGGTAGGAGGCGCATTTTAATCTCGCTTTGCTACTTGCTTATCTCTATTTAGCTGAGTAACGGGTATCTGATAGTCAAGGTACTCGACTATAGCGTTCTTCCTTGTTAACTTACTAAGTTAACTTCCTTTCTTGTTTTTAGTGTAGTACAATATTATTAGCGAGATTATTAAAAATAAACAAATTCTATTAATATCATGAGAAAAATTTAACATTTTTTTTTTAGATACCCAATTTTTAACGCATATGTATATTGCCTAAAATGTTCAATTTTAATATAATTCGGCTCAGTTCTTTAAATAGTACCTTTAATAATTGATTAATACGATGACCTAAAATATTCAGCCATTCGTGACCTAAAAAGTAGTGCAAAAGTCAAAAAATTGAAATTTTTAGGCAGTGCATGATGACCTACAAATTAACTCTTAGTCCACTTTACATTTTTTAGGCCACGCATGACCAAAAATTTTGCTCATTATTTTTCTGCGTGTAAATTAATAAATTGTTGGAAAAATACACACAAAATAAGCAGTATATTAATTTGAACATATAGTACACACATGCAGAAAAAATAAATCTACGTCTTGTCGTTCAAGTTTTCCCTAAACAATTTGGGCTTGAGTTTGACAGATGTTATTTTAACAGTGGCCTGTTAAGTTTTGTAACATAACATTTTGATCTATTATTAATTCGATAAAATCAACTTTTCGTAATTTTGAATACTTGTCATAGAGTAAGAATCTATATAGAGGTTTCAATTGCTCTGCCCGAACCTCTGCCCAACCTCTGCTAAGAGCCCATTCAAGGCCAAGTTTGAAGCTAACTTAGGTGCGAAGCAACAGCAATAGGGATTTCGATTAAAAACAAAAACAAAACAGTGAGCAAGAGCGGTGCAGAATGAGGTGGGAAGGAATTACAAGGTCGATCGAACTTGTCAAAAAGAGGGGAAATAAGCATTTTTCGCCTAGGTGGCATCATAGCCTCATTATCTAAAGAGAGCGGCAGAGCAATTGGCGCCTCTATATAGTTCATTACTCTATGTACTTGTCAAAAAGAATAATGCCAAAAAAACAGGTCAATTTCCCCATAGTGCTATGGTCGGTACCGCTACAGGTCTTATCAAGAGAGCCGTCGACAAATTAGCCTCTATTAGTACCTCTACCAACGGGGGAGTATGTTCGCATCAGACCGCCAGCGCCTAGTCAGGTGCTCGTAGATGTACCGACCGCACCTGCAGCGCCCTCGTGCGATCTTACCTCTTTGCCTCTCTCTTCGCTTTGTACCTCGTTAAATCTATCGCGTTATCTGTTAAGTCAAACAACTTGTAAGCAAATTCATATAAGTACATCACGATGACAATTATTCGGCTACGACAGTGTAGCTCCGAACTTTTTTATAAACACGGAATATATATGTCGGAGAGGAGGTAATTCAGTCTTTCGTTAGGCATGATACTTTAAGGTGTGACCATGGGTAAAACTGGTACATACCAGTTCTGGTATGATGGGGACTCAGTTTGCGAACTGAGGTTTTGTGTGGCTTCGTTGCGTTGCTAGGTCTGGTCGCTCCCTTTTTCTTTTCGTCCTGAGCTATAAGGTGGTGTACAATTGAGGACTGCTAAAAGGTTAGTTATTATGTGCAACAAAGGCAACGAAGACTCGCTGCATCAGCTAGAACTCAATATGGAGCAACAACAAGCAATCGACCAAGCGACTAATGAGAACCTGCATGGAGTAGGCTCCAATTTTCAGACATATATTTAATTGAAACTATCGTGCATTTAATTTTGATGTATAACCATATGGGTGGAAAATTCGTTGCTTCCCCGTAGACACCAACAATTTTAAATTTTCTCAAATAAAAGTCTTTTCTATGGAATTCATTATTTAAATTTTATTAATTTTACGTTTTTATACCCGTTACTCGAAGAGTAAAAGGGTATACTAGATTCGTCGGAAAGTATGTAACAGGCAGAAGGAAGCGTTTCCGACCCCATAAAGTATATATATTCTTGATCAGGATCACTAGCCGAGTCGATCTAGCCATGTCCGTCTGTCCGTCTGTCCGGATGAACGCTGAGATCTCGGAAACTATAAGAGCTAGGCTATTGAAATTTGGCATGCAGATTCCTAAATCTAGTATTTTCGGTCTTGAAAATTCGTGCTCGAAAGTAGTATTTTGTTTTCGGGTTCTGTATTTTCCATGATTGGTGAAGTTTTGACACCGAAAGTCCTTGATTCAAGCACGAAATACTGAATTTTTTTCTGAGTGCATATATTAATCTCGTTTTGCTGCTTGCATATTTATACCCGTTACTCGTAGAGTAAAAGGGTATACTAGATTCGTCGGAAAGTATGTAACAGGCAGAAGGAAGCGTTTCCGACCCCACAAAGTATATATATTCTTGATCAGGATCACTAGCCGAGTCGATCTAGCCATGTCCGTCTGTCCGTCTGTCCGTCTGTCCGTCTGTCCGTCTGTCCGTCTGTCTGTCCGTCCGGATGAACGCTGAGATCTCGGAAACTATGGGAGCTAGGCTATTGAGATTTGGCGTGCAGATTCCTAAGCTTCTTACGCAGCGCAAGTTTGTTTCAGCACAGTGCCACGCCCACTCCAACGCCCACAAACCGCCCAAAACTGTGGCTCCTACAGTTTTGATGCTAGAATAAAAATTTTAACTGAAAGGTATTGTTCTCATCAATACCTATCGATTGACCCAAAAAAAAGTTTGCCACGCCCACTTTAACGCCCACAAACCGCAAAAACCTGTGACGCCCACAATTTTCATGCTAGATAAAAAATTTTAACTGAAATGTATTGGTCTCGTCGATACCTATCGATTGATGAAATTTGCCACGCCCACTCTAACGCCCATAACGCTTAAATCTGTATACCGCCGGTAGGTGGCGCATTTTAATCTCGCTTTGCTGCTTGCATATCTCCATATAGCTGAGTAACGGGTATCTGATAGCCGAGGTACTCGACTATAGCGTTCTTCCTTGTTTTATCTTTCTTTGGTCCCCTTAGCTGAGTAACGGGGATCTGATAGTCGAGGTACTCGACTATAACGTTCTTCCTTATTTTTGTTTCCGAGGTTAGCAATTAATTTTTTCACCCTATCATCTTTTGAGGCCAACAACTTTGACGGACAAAACGGAAGATCATGGAAACGATATGGATATATCAAGTCTACTTATAAAAAATATCAATATTTACTATCAATTGAATTACTATGAATATCAAAATTGTTTATAAACGTGGTAAGCATCCAATTTATGTTTTTATATGGCAGATATTGTGACATTACCAATCATATAAATTATTCGCATCCACATATATTAGGGATGACGTTCCTTTAGATGAATCATAATCTGATAAATGTAAAATATGATCACTGTGGACGGCCGCCCACGTAGTGACGAAGCGCACCAGCAGGGTGTGCAAAGGCAACTACTATATAAACACGAAAAAATGAAAATCTACTGTGATTGTCCGATTGTTCCGAGTGATATAAGGATAGGATATTGGTTTGGGAGAAAGAAGAGTGAAAGTGGAAAAGTAAAAATATCGAAACTTTGATCTATTGGGGCCGGTGGGGATAAATACCACCCGCTATTAACCTACTTTTGTTCTCACTTAAAATATGCGCCGAATGACAACCAAACTGTCAAAATCGGGTGCTCCGTTCAAAAGTAATACGCAAAACAAGATCTTTTGGGACTTCTCAAACGTTATTTTAGAGTGAAAAACTTTAGATTAGTTCTACCATTTTTGGAAAAACTAGCTAGTTTGGCGAGAGAACAGCTATAAATAGCTAAATTTTAAACACCCGTAACTTGTGAACTGCGAAAGCTACAGGCTTGCGCTATTGTCGTTAGAAAAGGTATTTTGAAATACTTGGTAACATAATTTGTGTTAATACTAACGTTTAAAAATTATGGGCAAAAGTTTTTTTTTCTACCGTTTAAAAATTATGAGTAAAAGTTTTTCTTATTTAGATTTTTTTGGACTTTTTTCTGATTTCTCAAAAACGGCTCTAACGATTTCAAATTACATTTTAAAGTAAGGATTCCTCAACTTTTCATATATCAACTTTTGTGACGAAAATGTATTTTACAATCTACTAAATAAATATAATTTCTTAATATATTTACATTCAATCATATACAATTCATATACAATCTACTAAATAAATACAATTTCTTAATTTTTTTACATTCGGCAGCTGCTATTTAATATGCTTGGGTTTAGCTGTACAACTTTTATTAAGCGTGCCGAATGTAAAAAAATAAGAGATTTTATTTATTAAGTAGATCGTATAATACATTTTCGACACAAAAGGTGATATCAGAACTTTTTTTTGCTAAAGATACGATCGATATCGTGATGAATAGATTTGTTTGATTAGAAGTAGACTCTCGCAAAAATATCGCGTCCCGGCAGTGGTAACGGTGGTTACTGCGATGCCGGAGCACAGGCGATGCGGGAACTGCGCTGGATTGAATCCAAAGAATTCTGTGAAGCCGGGTAAAGCTGTGTGTCCTGTGAAGCTAGATGAAGCAGAGTATTCTGTGAAGCTGACGATCCTGTGAAGCTGGGTGAAGCTGAGTATCCTGTGAAGCTGGATGAAGCTGAGTATCCTGCGAGGCCGGAAGAAGCTGAGTATCCTGTGAAGCTCGATGAAGCTGACGATCCTGTGAAGCTGGATGAAGCTGAGTGTCCTGTGAAGCTGGATGAAGCTGTGAATCCTGTGAAGCTGGATTAAGCTGACGATCCTGTGACGCTGGATGAAGAAGCGTATCCTGTGAAGCTGCATGAAGCTGAGTATCCTGTCAATCTGGATGAAGCTGTGGGACCTGCGAAGCTGGATTAACTTGAGTATTTTGTGAAGCTGGATGAGCTATTGTTTCCAGGGCGGGTGGATGTAGTGAACTTAAGGGGTCTTCTTACCAGTCAGAGGTTCTGTTTTTGGTGGCAAGGGGGTTGCTAAAGTGTGATCTTTTGTTGGTAAAGGATCACTTCGGGGTCACCAATGTTTGCGCCTAACCGAAGTAGACACTCGCAAGACGATCGCGTCGCGGCAATGGTAACGATGGTTACTGCGCAGAGGTTGAGCTAACGTGGTTAGCTGCTAGTTGAGATAGTGTATTACGAGCCCTATTCCCAGAGGTAGGAAGTAGAACCTCGGAGTTATGAGTTGCGTTGATAACAGATTTGTTCTTCATTTGATACATGTTTATATACTACTTGGAACACGGAAGTTTAGTGTAATGATTAATGAAATAAGCTATATTCTAAAGTGGGTCAGGGAATTTTGATTATGGTAGCAATTGCATAGTTGGCTCGGCTGACACTGCAAAAGGTGCTGACTGCATGGGCGGGTCAGTGTGCCGTTAGCCGGTGAGACGGTGAGTTAGTGAGGCATATAATATGCTGATCAGCAATTCTCATCTGCAGTGGGTGCTACTAAGCGCCTGGTACTGTTCCCAACTTGGCTACTGCTTGATTTGTTGGGTGCTGATCATGTTCAGCACTCTTGGGTACGAACAAGTTTAATATTAGTTAATTATACCCGTTACTCGTAGAGTAAAAGGGTATACTAGATTCGTCGGAAAGTATGTAACAGGAAGAAGGAAGCGTTTCCGACCCCATAAAGTATATATATTCTTGATCAGGATCACTAGCCGAGTCGATCTAGCCATATCCGTCTGTCCGTCTGTCTGTCTGTCTGTCCGGATGAACGCTGAGATCTCTGAAACTATGAGAGCTAGGCTATTGAGATTTGGCGTACAGATTCCTGAGCTTCTTACGCAGCACAAGTTTGTTTCAGTAGACTGCCACGCCCACTCTAACGCCCACAAACCGCCCAAAACTGTAACTCCTACAGTTTTGATGCTAGACAGAAAATTTTAACTGAAATGTATTGTTCTCATCAATACCTATCGATTGACTTAAAAAAAGTTTGCCACGCCCACTTAAACGTCCACAAACCGCGAAAATCTGTGACGCCCACAATTTGCATGCTAGATAAAAAATTTTAACTGAAATGTATTGGTGTCGTCAATACCTATCGATTGATCCAAAAATAAATTTGCCACGCCCACTCTAACGCCCATAACGCTTAAATCTGTCTACCGCCGGTAGATGGCGCATTTTAATTTCGCTTTGCTGCTTGCATATCTCCATTTCCCTTTGAGTAACGGGTATCTGATAGTCGAGGTACTCGACTATAGCGTTCTTCCTTGTTTTCTTTATTAATATTAATTCGCGGTGCACAGGTAATGGCAAAAACAGTTGACTTTTATAAAAACAGATGGATATCTGCTGATGTTTCATGTCGTCCGGCTGACTCGATTATCTTCGTCACTATGCTGTTCCTCCCTATCTGTTGTTACTGCTGTTCAGCTGTTACCGCTGTTCTGCTGTTAGCGCTGTTCTGTTGTTACCCAATGCTCCTTTAGTGTAACAACTTGCCTACTCCCTACTACCCGCATCGAATACTGTTTTGATGAACCTATACATATCAATATCTCAGAGCAATTCATGTTACATATTTGTAGTTTCTAACATTGCCTCCCAAAACCAGAAGTTGCATAATATCGAGCACATTTTTCGACATTTTTGAAAGATGTCAGTTAAAAGGAACACATCAGTCAATTAATTTAAGTCCAAATCATCTCAAGACATTTAATTTTCTTTAAAACTGAAATCTAACAAGGAAGAACGCTATAGTCGAATACCTCGCCTATCAGATACCCGTTACTCAGCTAAATAGAGATATGCAAGTAGCAAAACGAGATTAAAATGCGCCACCTACCAGCGGTATACAGATTTAAGCGTTATGGGCGTTAGAGTGGGCGTGGCACATTCGCGTAACAAACTTGCGCTGCGTATAAGGCTACGGAATCTAAATCTGAAATCCCAATTCTCTATCTTTGATAGTTTCCAATATATCCACGTTCATATTTACGATTTTTTGAAGTTTGTGGGCGGTTTATGGGCGTTAGGGTGGGCGTGGCAAACTTTTTTTGAATCAATCGATAGGTATTGATGAGAACATTACATTTCAGCTAAAATTTTTATTCTAGCATCAAAACTGTAGGAGCCACAGTTTTGGGCGGTTTGTGGGCGTCAGAGTGGGCGTGGCACTCTACTGAAACAAACTTGCGCTGCGTAAGATGCTCAGGAATCTGCACGCCAAATCTTAATAGCCTAGCTCCCATAGTTTCCGAGATCTCAGCGTTCATCCGGACAGACAGACGGACAGACGGACATGGCTAGATCGACTCGGATAGTGATCCTGATCAAGAATATTTATACTTTATGGGGTCGGAAACGCTTCCTTCTGCCTGTTACATACTTTCCGACGAATCTAGTATACCCTTTTACTCTACGAGTAACGGGTATAAAAATTGGTTGAGGTTGCTTTAAACTTTATTCGAAAAAATCGGTTTCCCACCCCCAACTTTGTCAACATTCTGAACTCAGTCAATATTAGTAAAAGATGGACAATTCCGAAATGTTTTGGTTGGACATCTAAAATCCGAATTTGACACAACGAATTTACCATCTAAGAGATCCGTATTATCTAGTGTCCTCTATATTACTAGATTTTCCGAAAAAATATTGTTACGAAGCGCCAAAGATGTAACACAACTGCCAGTTGAATATTGCCTTCTTTGTCCTCCCTTATTTGGGTATATAAGTGTTTACAGAAGGTCCCTTTATGAAACGGTTTTTTCAAAAACAAATAAAATGTTTTTAATGACTTATTATGCAATTCGAGGATTTTAATACCTTATTCTCAATATCTTCAAAAATTAAGTCCAATTTGATCTTGTACGACCATGTAAATTCTGGCCTTTTTCAATTTTTAAAGCTTTCAAAGTAGTTTGGAAAGGTGGCAAACGAATTTGCGAAATAAAACCAAGTCAAGGCCACCCATATGAAAATAATATATTTAATCAAGGGAAACAGTGCGTATGAGTTATTAACTTTGAAACCAATTCGCAGACCCTAAATCGAGTTTTTTTCAAACAATTTCTTTTGGTATACATTAAATAACTCAAAACGCACTGTATAACAGGCACGTGAGAAAGGTCGCACACCCATAGTATCCAAAGGTTTTTGTCTTAGAGGAGATTGCCCCCATCGCCCCCACATCCCCATGTGACAATATTTATCATGTATCTATCTCCTCACTATGATTAATTAATAGTCACGTGAGAAAGGTGCACGTGAGGAAGGTCGCGCAAGGTCC